CGATCATGTTACGTTACACTCAATTATGATTAATTATTGGGGGTCCCTTAAAGCGGGGCAGATTTCATATAATGATCATCATAACTTTTTCGAAGGTTTACCTTTGTGTAATTTGTTCGAAGTTTTATGCATATATATTTTTGTTGATGTAGAAATTTTAAGATATTATCGCATTACGTTTTTTTTACAAGACAATTAATAATTAAGATTTCAAAATTATCTACTTGGCATATTAACTAACAAATACTTAACCACACCTTTAAAATTCTGACACAAAAAAATATATAATAAAAGATATGTAATCGCATAATAGTTTAAGCAAAGTGATTATTCGAATAAGGAATCAGCTTAAAAGAAATTTGACATTCTCATAATACATTAGCATCGGATTTTCACCACTCCTAGTTTTAGTTCTTTCCAAATCAGCGTAACGTTTTAAAAAGTCGTGTTGTGTCAAAATTCTAATATTCTCTTTCGCTTTGCCAGAATGGCAAACCAACAGATAAATATCTCTCAATAATTCAAAATTGGTAGGGAAGAAAATATCAAACCAGCCCGGAGATACCATAAAAGTTGAACAAGGGACCATAGTATCTTCATAACGAGTTTGTACCACAGGGGCATCTATACCTCTAATTGTATCGGGAAGTTTATAAAAATCCGAAATTATTAAACGATGCTGTGGAAAATAGTCTTTTAGTATTTCAAGAAACAATAATTCTTTTGTGGGAATGAACTCCGGGGAGGTCATATTTGGGGAAAATGGAAGTTTGTTGCGTAATTTTCGGAAAAAACGGTTTTGTAGAACAGGAGTTTTATAAAGAGTTCTGCTACGAAGAGTAAGGTAGCGAGTAATTAACGGATCGTTAACAGGTTCATATATTTCTTCAAATTCACCTTTGTCGTCTATTACTACAATAGCTTGATATGGTTTTTCGGCGACATAATCATAACGAACTAAATCATGAGCGAAATTATCCTGCAATTGAGCAAATCTAAATTTTAAATAAATGAATAAAATGAACTAATAAAAACAAGATAATATATATATATACCAAAACTTCAAAGGCAAAAATATAACAAGGATCAGCAACAAGTTCATTCCAATCAAAAATACTCTTATTGATAACTTCAACACAATCATGTACGTTCTTATTATTTTGAACATTTTGACTTTGGAGTTGTAGTTCAGCTAATTTCGAGCTGATCTCTACAATTCTATATCTTGTTCTTTTATAAATAGATGGTTCGAACTTTTGAATATAGTCCAAAATGTTACGCATTAAAGTTGCATTACCAGCTCCAAGTTCATAAATTATCAGATCATGTGAAGGATAACCGCTTAATTTATATTCAGTAACTACGTATTTTGCTATTGCATATCCATACCAAGGCTATATATATACGTATTTTTTTTTTTTAAAAAAAAAAAAAGGAAAGAAAAAAAAAGAAAAGATTAATTTAATGACATAAAGTAAATCAAAAAGAGAATATCCGTGATAAACCTTGAATAATTCAGTTGAAGTATGCCAAACTTGTCTAGACGCTTTATTTGTTACATCTAAAGGCACTTCATGTTCTTTATACATTTTTGCCACCAAGTTCATAAATTCCAAATTATCTTTAATTTTATTAAATTCAAATTCTTTTTCGGATGAGAAAATAATTGCTTGTTTTGAAAAATACCCATAATTTGGATTATATAACGAATCGTCAATAAAATCCCGAACTAACATTTGAACACATTTTGGAGGAGTTGTTCTGCTGGTTAGTTGTGAGGCATTGTATCTTTTGTAGGTGGAGTATTCTGGATTTATCGGTATTTCATCTAATAAACCTATAGTGCCTGAACCGGTAGTAGATGTTAGTTTACGAGAGGTTATCGAGGATTGGACTAAGTTACGCAACCAATGGCATATTCTTGAGTTAAATGTAAGTTTAGAATGCGAAAATAACATTTTTTTACACGAAAAAAAAAAAAAAATTTATCAAAAAAAAAAAAAACTCTTATTGGTTAGATTAGCCAATAATTGGGGTCCTTAAAACCGAGTTAAAAAAAGTTGCGTTTTTTTGATTTTTTTAGAGTTACCTTTTTGATACAGTTAAGGTTAGTTAGTTATTTATATATCAAGAATACAATTTATGCAGTATGTAGATCATTATATGAAATCTGCCCCGCTTTAAGGGACCC